TTTCAATTAGCTGAGTCCAACAGCTCGTTAAGGTGTGTAAGCACTCCCTTTTAACTGCTGACTAATTAGCATTTTAAGACTTGTCCCGGTATTTGTTTTAGAAGTGGAAATTAAGAAAGGCGTGAAAATTAAGAAGATGATTCCATAATATTTTCCTCAACATTGAGTGATTCCATACTTTTTTCCTCTACTTGATTTGTAAAAAGACATGCCATTAATAAAAAAAAAATCAGTGAATTTTTTTGATGTATGTTTCACAAAGCCAGAATGTTAAGCTATTGAACAAAACCTTTTTGTGTCATATCTATGATTTATTTGTTTGCTATAAAGTAAAAAAGCTGGGTGAACATCCTCTAAGTGTGGTGATTCCATAATTTTTGCCAGGGGTTGTAATTTCATTCTCCATGCTGCATTTTAACCCATGCCGTATTTCAACCCACATTAAAAATGTTCTTCTGCAAGTAGGATGTAATAGGATTCTTCTACAAGAGAGGATGAAATTTATCAAAATTTATCAAATTTCCTACAGCTTTGAATGTGGGGCTGATCTTAACAAGCTCATTTCCAGTGCCTGTTTCTCTTCCAGATCAGGCTGCCAATCTTAAAATCAGCAATCTTCATGAACAAACCTCTGAGCCTCACCAACCCCCTGCCTGCATTTTGTATGTTTTTCTCAATACTCCAGACAGACAGCCAGACTGATGCACTAGATAACTTTGTCTTCCATAAATGGAATGCTGCATTAGTTGTTGTTTTTCTTCTCCTCTTGGCTGCTCCCGTTAGGGGTCGCTACAGCAGATCATTGGTCCGCATATTTGATTTGGCACAGTTTTTATGCCGGATGCCCTTCCTGACGCAGCCCTTTTATTAACCCGCAATTTTATCCAGGCTTGGGACCGGCACTGGGAATGCACTGATGTGGTTCCCTGGCCGGGAATCGAACCCAGGCCGCGGCAGTAAGTGCACCATGGCCTAAACACTAGTCCTCCAGGGACCCAGATGTACAAATTATTGAGGAGCACAAATGAGTGGAATCATTCCCTTTTCCTGTTACTCCCCATTTTCTAAATTAGAGCCTCATCCCAGAGCAACCATAGTTTTACTACTGATCTATTTCTGATTTTATCTTTTGAAGAACTATGTGAAAATCTAAAGTAAATTTGTACAAACCTACCTTAAGGTCTCTGTGCATAATTCCACGGGAGTGAATATACTCCACCCCTTCAAGTATTTTCTTTAAGATATCAGATGCTTGTTGAGAGTCAAATGATTGAAAGGAACCTGCAAATCAAGAAAATTTAACCAGCTTGCATTTATATTCACAGATAGAAATGCTGTGTCTATGTAAACGTGCAAGGAAATGACCACATCCAATACTACAGAGCAAGTAACCTATGCCAATTAATAATCCATTAAATTTACCTGTTGACATTGTGAGTTCTGGCTTCGGTTTAGAGTTCCTTTCCTGAATCCACTCTTTCAATGAACGCTCACACAGCTGCATTTGGATGTAGAGCATTAAGTGGAACTGAGCCTGTAGAATGGACATCAGTGTCAAACTAATAAAGAAATTAAAACATTACACATTACATTTTTTGCTTTGCCAGCATTGTTTTGAAGATGATGAGCAATATACCTCCTTTGGATGTTTTTCAGCCCACTGCTGACTGCTCATATCAACATATGACTCCTCTGACAGTGTTGAACTTTCCCACCGAAGTGCAGGGCAGGTCTCCCCAACAGAGCGCGGCTCTCCCAGGTACGCACATGGAACAAAGTTATGTGGGCTGTGCACAATTTTTTTGGACAGAACCTGACTCCTCTGCTCTTTTGCCATTGCAGATCTTAGAAGATTATTTGAGCTATTCTTTAGCACATTTGTAGAGTGTCCTTTTCTGTCCTTTGAACATTCAGAGTTTTCAAAAACAATGGATGATCCATTGGTGCTACTCGTGCTCTCCTCTACAAGTCTGCAAAAGGGACTCATTCTCATGAAATTACAGTAGGCATGTTTATCTGCTCCATTTCAGTAAAGAATGGGAATGATCTTACCTTTCTGTTTGTGAGGGTGTTTCTAAAGCTGGTATGGTAGCCAGAAGGGTAGGTTTACAATCTAGAAGAAAAGGATATAAGTAATTATACAACAGTTAGTTCTGGTCCACTAATTTGATTATTTGAGTGGTGCTCAAAGAGTGCCTATATTTCCTATAAGTGCCCTGGGACCTTTCACTGTATGTATCACTCCACTCATCTGTGTTCACCACGTGACATTCCACTTCCTAGTTCGAAACCATTACTACAGTACAGTTCGCGACATCACCAGCGGGCATGGCAAATGATACATTTGAGGAATATACCTTTTGACTTAAAATATGAAAGCTCATCAGTTGAAGAAGGGACGCAAATTGTACCAGAAGCACCTTACAAATCATTGTGAGCTAGCTAGCCAGCTATCCGACAGGCTATTTGTGAGTGTAGCTTCTTCGGGATCTATTTCCAAAAATACACAGAACATTTGGCCATATTCTGTCCAAAATGTCACTTACTCAATATTAATTCCTTGTTTATAGAACTGTTGTATAAAAGCAATCTCGCACTCACAATCATGCAGTTATACCGAATATCGGCACGGCTGTGATTAACTACAGCACTCAGCCTGTGGACTCGTGTCTATGGCCGAATTACAGCAGTGCGGATATTCAATATGACCGCACTCTTGCTCGTGCAATATTGCTTAATTAGTTGTTTTATTTAGTCTACCCTACAGACATGTACACACAGTGGTTTATTTTGGCCTACAACCTCTGACATAGGAAATCAAGTAAGAATCTGATCAAGTAAAATATCTCAACCAAAATATTGACACTCTAATGAATATGCATATATGGAATAAAGAACAGCCTCAATGGAGATAAATAATGAGATAATAACAATAATACTACTACTACTAATAATAATTTATTTAAATCTTGAGATTATGAATGTAAACATGTATTCATGATAAAGCACATTAATCGTATCTGTAATCATTAATGAAAATGACTAGAAACGTGAATAATTCAATAAAACAATCGAATAACTTCAAATAGGCCAGTTATAAGCATTCATGTTTAAAATCTTAACTTTGAAACTACAGAGCTGGCTTTCTGAATATCTTGTGTAACACTATTCTACTGGTAAGGGGCGGTATGAAAAAACAGAGCTGCAGGTGATCTTGCGAGGACCTGACAGATGAACAAAGAAGTCAGAAATAATTTTTGCTTCAGGAGGAAGGCAAGTTATGAGCTAAAAATGTATACTTAATATAAGTGATTTACTCTTCACAGCAGGCTGCACATGCTCCAACCACGCAGTGTGATATCCAACAATGTTCAGATGCTGAAGACTGGACAGAACTTTAACCTCCCGTATGACCTACAACAAATCATTCACACAATTTATGTGTTCATACAGTTTATTCATACAATACATATTACATTTCTACACGTTGGTCCTAGGTATATATGACAAACTAAATAATCTGTTATACTTCATTAGGACATCGCTCTACCTTCATGCAGTCGTTCCTCGTCACACTCTTGATCAGAATCTTTTTTACAGCGTAATGCTGTCCATCCAACTTGTTTATCACCTGTGAACAGCATTGAGTAAACAAAAACTCTTGCACTCTTGCACTATGAGACAATTTTTTGCACACTACATTCCTCTAAAGGCTGCTAAGCATTCCTCCAAAACATGCTGAACATATTTTTACATATAACGTCTATATTTGTCTACTAGATTCTATTCTATTATATTCTATTTTTCTATTTTATTCAATATATTCTGCTTTTACTATATTCTGCTTTTATTATAGTCTGCTTTTATTATGTATCACTAGTCACGTTTACATGGACACTTTTTGTTTCAATCGGAATGAAATCAATCAGATTGATTAATCCGATCGCAGTGTTTACAAGAACGCTGAATAAAGTAATCGGGTTGATATGCGCGTTTACATGACAGAATCTTCTGACATGCGCACAGTGCACGAAATACACGTTTCCCGCCGTTCCAACATGCAGATACTAGCAGCTACTCTCTTGCCATTGCTTCTTTTTTTTTCGTTTTAAAAAGCAGACTTAACATTTGCCTATTTCAGCTGCTAATTAGAAGACGACGAGCGTGTGATGTGTTGTGCGGTACTGCGTGTATTTATCAAGCAATTAAAATGCCCCTTCCCGAGCCCAGAACAAGGCGTCTGTGGATGAGGGTCCGAAGCAAGGACTGGTGGGACAACGTCGTGTTGCACCACTTCACAGACGAGGAGTGGAAGGAGAATTTTAGGATGACACGACAGTCATTTATGACACTATGCTCAATGGTGGAGGGGTACATAGCACCTGGTGAGGCTACGGTCAGAGCCCCAATACCGCTGACAGCCGTGCGTCATACGTCATTACGTGATTTGTACGTCATTGCACATGCGCAGAACTATCTGGTTT